TAAATATCAAGCATATCAAGCCATGGAACATAAATGAGGAAAGAATACCAAACAAGCTTGAAAATAGGCAAAAATGGTTACAGTGGTAATGGATTATCACATGCAGGTAATCGATTACCTGCTTAAAAATTGCAAGTCCATGTGAAAATTGTGTAGGGTAATGATTACCACTGTAACAGTGGGAAAAAACAACTTTTCTAGAACACTTTCAGCAACCAAATCACTTATCCAACCATCCACATGCTATGGTTAACATTTGTACACAAAAAATTATGTTCAAAATCACTTAGGCATCAATTAAACATCAATTGAAAGCATTAAACATGAAGATCAAAGATCAAACAATCACATGATTAATCAACACAGGAAAACTATCGAAATACATCGTAAACGCGCGAAAGTGATTAAAACAGTAAACCAAGCAAAGGATAACCAACCTACAAGGTTGAGATTTGCCTTGGATGTTGTTATTGATATGTAATGAGAAATATCAAATAAAACCAGAGAAATCAGAATTTGCAACCGAACCGTAGCAAAACCGAGCAAATTGCAACGAAATCTCCAAATACGAAATTGCACTGAATAAGCTTGAAGTAATCACTTGAGATGAATCAAAATCTAATATAACTCCATAAAATCAAGAAGAATTAGCAAGATGATGACGGCTAAGCTCAAGAGAAAGCACTTCCAATGAAGAAGTTACTACTCTTTAATGGAGGATTTGAGCTTTAGTGAGGTTTTGGGAAGAAAATGAAGATGAATGTGAGAAAAGGTTGCAGAAAATTCAGAGAGAATGTGAGAGAATTGAGAGTGAAGAATTTTAAAATTGATAAAATGATTGAGGTTCCTTTGTGAAATTGTGGTGATTTGCTTATATAGAGTTTTGCTTCGGAGTTGCTAGGTTCAGAGTGAGCATTGGGTGTAGCCTTGGAACTAGCCTTGGAGTTAGTTAGCCTCAACTCATTGAGTTGGAGGTTAAATTAGTTAGTTAGGTAATTGACTCGGTAACCATTCTAATGCAAACTTGAATCTAAGGGCTCACATGTTTGGAAATGAAGCAACATAATGGTCTTAATCCAAATTGATGTATTAGAGCAAATGTCTTGAAGTGTCTAGAGTTGTCTAGAATGTTCCACACAATGCTAGAACCAAGTAGACCCTAAAAAATGTAGAGTGAAAGTTGTTGTCATAGAACATGCAGCAAAAATTGCATTTTTGCACAGGGTAATCGATTACTCAGCTTTGCCTAGCAAAGTGGTAATCGATTACCACAGGCAAAACTTGCATATTTTGCTTGAAAAATGATGTTGTGGCCACGACTCCGATTTTCAACCTTTTTCTTTGATGAATAGGCATAGAAACCCTTGTTTTGTGCTTGTAATGATTATGTGATATCTTTGGTGATGATGTGATTAATTAGGCTCGAAAAACCTAAATGTTCCTGCAAAGAAAACCACAGAGAAAAAGTGTCAATGCGTATGCCAGCGACGCGAATGCACATGCTTATGCAAAAGGCAAAAGCGGAGGTCAAATTTCGGGTTTAAGACAGGTTACAAAAGTAGAACCTGACACCTTCTTTGTGATATCAAAAAATATTTTCAAAAAATTAACAAAACATTTTGTATTATCCCAATCCTCATTATTAGGAATACCACCTTTCATCAGCACAAAATCATCACACTTGTCACTCAATCTCTTAAATGCCTTTTGAAACTTCAATGCACTTTCAAGCATAATATATGTGGAATTCCGCCTAGTGGAAACGTCCAACTGAACAATTGATTTTTCTTGTGACTTAGTTTCCTTAATTCAAGTTTTAAACCTATCCATACGACCTCGGAGATGCACGAATATAACTAACAACATTTCTAATCTTACTAATTATGGAATGATAGTCTTCTAGTCCATCTTGGACCATAAGATTCAGTATATGTGCACAACATCAAACATGTATATATGTTCACCTTTCAATGGATGTGAATTCCAATCATTCATTGTATTTTTCAAGTAAGTGATAGCAACATCGTTGGAACTAGCATTATCAACCGTAATGGTGAAAACATTACCTATTAGCCATTCCTCCAAACACTTTTCAATTTTTTTCCAATGGTTACTCCTTTGTGATTCACAATTGGACAGAAATTCAGAATTCATTTATGGATTTTCCAATCATGATCAACGAAATATGCAGTGAGAGAAAGATAACTCAAATTTTGCACAGATGTCCAACAATCAGTTGTAAGACATACACATTGATTTGATTTATTTAACATACTTTTAACTTATGTTTCTCACTCGTGTATAAATCCCAACAATCTCTAGAAATTGTAATCCTTTTAGGAATTGAGAGTTTAGGTTGCACGACACTCATAAAATGAAGAAATCCTTCTCCCTCAACAAACTTAAAAGGCAACTCATCAACAATAATCATCCTAGCTAAAGTTTTCCTACATGCCTCAACATCAAAATGTAAACTAGTGAGAACACTACCAGATCCATTCCTTTCTTCTTTTTTCAATTGTTGAAGAACAAGAGTCTGTTGAGTGGGATCAAGAGACTCTTTGGGAAACTTCTTACATTGATGCAACAAGTGATGTTTCAAATTACTAGTGTCGTTTCTTTGTGAATCATCAGCATATGTTACATCACACCAATTACACTTAGCTCTTGATCCTATTTTTGTAAAATGTTGACAAGTCCAAGATCTAGGTTTAATAGGTTTTTTATTACCTGAATCTCCAGCTGCAATATTAGGATCATTGGATGTGGTAAAAGTTGAAGCTTCTCCAACTTTCCTTTTCTTATTAGCATTTTCTTCATCATTGTTCACTCCATTACTTTGTATCAATGGAGGTGGAGGTTCAGTTGTTTCACCCTGAAAACTAAAAAAAAAAGTCATCATAAACTTGCATTTAAGTATGGTTTATATGTAAGCGATCGTCCAAAATTTATGTTTATGCCAACAAAAATCAGTACACAACAAATTGCCTCTTAGATCTAGTTGAAAGACTATTGCATAAATATAATCACATAGAAAGTTAACTGGTGATAAAATTTAATCACATATACTTCTAATGCAGTAGAAATTTAATCACATCAAAATTTCTAACCAAATTATTAACTAGTGATAAAATTTCTAACCACGTAAACTTCTACTGCAGTAGTTCTATGTGATAAAATTTCTAACCAAATTGCCTCAATTGTAGAGTATTACTATTAAGTATGCAGCAAGTCAATTCCAATTTCTAAAGAAAAACACCAGTTAACATTTTATCAAGATTTATCAGGATAAAATTTTATCAGTTCTGAAATTAATTAGAGAGAAAATTCATTTGCAATCTAGTTATTTGCAGTTCTAAAATTAACTATAGTATACATGACTGAGGTTGCTAATAAGATCAGATTGAGTAGATGAAGCAACATTATTAGAGGATTTTACTTGCTCATTCATGTAAAAAAACAAACAAACTAAAAATTAGAATAGATTGAGATGAAATCAAACAAACTGTAAAAAAGCAAAAATCGAACTTAAAAAGCTTACTTACTGATATTAGAATGACGGTTCGAAACAAGAAAAAATTGAGATGAAATGAGAGAGATATCCGAGAATAAGAAAGAAGGTCGAAGATGAAATAGGAGAACGAGAACTTAAATAGAGAATTGAAAAAGTTGACAATTCAATTTCAGAGAGGAATTGAAGGTCGTGGGCGGATTTCATGCGGCTACAATGAATGTAATTCATTGTACTTAATTTTGAGGATGATTGAGAACCTCATAAAGTTATTTTAGGGATGATTAAGATTTGAGAGTCTCTATGAAGCACGGGCGGCTGAACAATAAAGATAAGTTGGGGCTTAGGCGACTAAACCAAATATGGAGAGAATAAACGTTGAGCAAATGGAATAAATACCGGTTTGGTTCGCATGCAGCCAACCGTAAAACAAATCGAACCAGTCAGTTATGTTACATGGTGGTCCAAACACATCCAAAAGAAATCGTTTTTTTTTTTTTCTCAATTTTTAATTTTGTTTTTTTTTTAGATTGGATTGAATCTGAACACCTCTATTCTCAATTTCTTTTCAAATTTTGTGAGAATTATCTTTGCTCCGCTTCATCATATTCTCACCACATTAAAGGAAGCAAACGTTTTAGAAAATTGATTTTTGAAAAACAGTGTATTCAACTTGTCCCTTTTAGACCGTTCAACTACCAAATTCTCCTCTAATAATTTTAGATTTGATATTACTTTAAAGCGCTGTATTTGAAAAATTTGTCTTAACTTTAAGGATAATTGACTAAGATTAAGAGGTGATTTTCAACTTCATTTAATTTGCTTAGGCCTTAAGAGAATTTTGGCTTTAAAACTTATTTGTGCACCTCTTCCTTATTTGATTTTACACCCCATTTACGTTCTTTATTTCTCAAACAAATTGATTAGCGATCAAATAAACAATAAGACCAGAAAATTCAAATTAACAATTGTTAGATAAATAATCTAAGTTTTTTTGAGTTCATTTTCCTTCCAAGCATTTTACCTTAAAGCCTTAGATTAGAAGCCTTTGAGGAGAATCTTCTCCCCCTTTTGATCGATATTGAGTCAAACATTATATTTCTTTTTCTAAATTTTTTTGAATGATTTGATACAAGAGTTGATCTTTGAAGAAACTTATTCTACCTTGTTGAATTATCTTCTAAGAAATTTCTCAATAAATTATCAAGAAGCTTATTAAGGACTACGAAATTTAAATTAGCAAGTTAAGCCAAATTCAACTAAAACTAATTTAACCACTAAAACAAAGAAAATTAATTCAACCAAAATCAATTCTAATTTCCACATAATCAAACACATAGTAATATTTGTATCAAGTGGATACCCATAACACTTCTCCAAAAGACAATCCATTTAGAACTAGAAATAATACTATTAATTAACTAGGGAATGAATAAGAACACCACTTATACTAGATACAAGATATTTTAGTAGTAATACATTTTGTTAACTAAAAATCTTCATCCATGTTGAAGACATGTTCCGCAGCACCATTACCATTTAAGCTATTCATAACAGAAGCTTTCTGATACTCCCCAACGCGCTTCTCAAAAAAGTTAGTTTTCCCTTGAAGCGAAATCAATTCCATCCAATCAAAAGGATTCTCAGCATTATAAACTTTCCCACACCCAACTTCACACAACAACCTATCAGCAACAAACTCAATATACTTACTCATCAACTCCCCATTCATCCCAACCAAAGCGCACGGAAGCGCGTCGCAAATAAACTCTTTCTCAATTTCAACAGCATCGCGCACAATCATCTTCACGCGCTCCTCGCTCAGTTTCTTCCTCAAAAGTGAATAAATCAAACAAGCAAAATCACAATGAAGACCTTCGTCGCGCGAAATAAGCTCGTTTGAAAAAGTTAATCCAGGCATTAAACCGCGTTTTTTAAGCCAGAAAATTGCACAGAAACTTCCGGAGAAAAATATACCTTCTACACAAGCAAAAGCAACGATTCGTTCAGCGAATGAATCAGACGAATCGATCCATTTCAACGCCCAATCAGCTTTCTTCGCGATGCAAGGGATAGTATCAATAGCATGAAACAAACGATTCTTCTCGGTGTTATTATTGATGTAGGTTTCAATAAGGAGACTATACATCTCGGAGTGAATATTCTCGATCGCGATCTGGAAACCGTAGAAGGCACGTGCTTCTGAAACTTGAATTTCTTTCATGAATCTTCCGGCGAGATTCTCCAAGACGATGCCGTCGGAGGCGGCAAAGAAGGCAAGAATGTGTGAGATGAAGTGGCGTTCGTCGTCGGTTAGGGATTTCCAGTGGTGAAGATCTTGGGAGAGATCGACTTCTTCTGCTGTCCAGAAAGAAGCTTCGGCTTTTTTGTACATTTCCCAGATTTTAGGGTATTGAATTGGGAACATGCAGAAGCGATCTGGGTTTGGGGCTAGAAGTGGTTCTGCTGGAAAAGAAGGCATTGTTTGGGAATTGGATAATTGAGAAAAGTGATTAATTGGAAAGAAAATGATTCTGTGACGATGAAAGAATGAGGCGATGGAGGGGTTTAAATAAATAAAAAATGGGCGAAAATAGAGGCGGGTGAATTTGAAAATAAAAAATTTGGGAGAAGCGTGCAGGAGAAGATGCAAAGGGCGCGGGTTGTTTGAAAATAAAATTTAGAAAGCTTACGTGAGAAGATTTTGAGGTTTTGAAACGGTGAGTTGGATTTCAAATTTGAGAATTTTTTTATTTATTGCAAAATTTGAGAATTAATTAGAGTTTTAAAATTCAAACGCTATTTTTTTGTGTGTGGCCGTCTTAAAGTTTTAACTGAGATGTGTGATGGCAGCAAGACACACCTATTCAATTGTTTTATTCATTTATAATATAAGAAAATTAAAGATTCTGAAAAAAAATCCAAAATGCTTTTGTTTTAAAAAAGGTCACTTCATTATTTTAAGGGTTTTTTCTGTGTCTAAACATATTTTATTATTATTATTATTATTATTATTATTATTATTATTATTATTATTATTATTATTATTATTATTATTATCATCATCTATACAATATATAAAGAAAATACTTTATTTTGGCGTAACCTATTTTTCTAGCATTTTTATTCTTATTTTATTGTGTAATTTATTCAATAACTTCCACATAACTTATTATTATTAAGTTCCGCATAACTTCTTATTATTAACTTCCGCATATTATATTTTAAAAAAATATATATATTTTAACAAAAAATATCATTTATATTTTTTTGCGCATTAAAAAAGCAGACAGGCGGGCACGCGAGTGCCCATCTGGAAGCTAGTATTTAATAATAATAATAATAATAATAATAATAATAATAATAATAATAATAATAATAATAATAATAATAATAATAACTCTTATTATTATATTATACGATGTTTCATATTTCACTTAAGTACATCATACCATACGGTGTTTCATATTTCTAAGTACACCGCACCTTACAGTGTTCTTTATTTATTCTATCTCTCATCAATCTGTCTTTATGTGTGTGACCCTATAGGTTCTCGTGACGTTGTCAATTATATTAAATCATATATTTAATATAATAAACAGTGAGTGGTATATAGCAACACATCACTGCTACCCAAGTCACGAAAATGTCATGTGATATGACAAAACCTTTTGCGATAGTACTTGTGTGTACAATTACCCTTTTCTCTTATTTCTATATTGAAAACAAGACATATATCGTGTCATCCTTGTCCAGTTCAATATTGGGCCCTTTGTCATTTATCCTGTTATGCAGGAAGGAAAAATTTCATCTAGGTCACTCATGTCCCTCAACATGCTTTGTGGAGTACCCATCAACTGTCTTTATGGTCATTCAGTTACAAATAATGTTAAATCAATAATAAAGTACTCGACTCTACCTCTAAGGTCCATAGTGGTTTCAGGTCGAATGGTGATATACACCACTATCACCATGAGAGTAAATTATGACACTTGGGTCAATCCAGTATAAATATTACTCCTAATATTCATATCTATGTTAAGACTTGATAACTCATTATCCATGATCCATTTTAAGGTTATCCCACTTCGCAGTAAAGTTCGACTATAGATACTTTAAGAATATTTCATTAAACAAGCTAGCTATTATAGGTACTTTATTATTCTAGAAAAACAACTATAATAATGAAATACCTTTTATTAATAATAAGTAATTCGATACAAGTACCAAAAATAATGGTCTCTAGGGTTTACACCAACAGAAAGTTGTTGTGAAGAAGAAACCAAGTGCTAAAAAGAAGAACACAATAGTAAAAAGGAAGAATGTTGTTGCTCGTACTAAGGAGCGGAATTTTGAAGATGATGCAAATAACTTTGTGAACGAGCCTCGCCGCAAAGAGAATTAAAAATGTGGTTGGAGGTAAGAAACTGCCTATAAATATTCTTGTTGTTCCTTTGGACAATGTTTTCACTTTGAAGAGAGTGTGGCCAAATGAAAACTTTTTTTCATAAAATAATAGTTCAAGAAAGGGAACTTTCTGATGATTCTAAAAAATGTAATGAGATCATGGAACTTTTCAGTGATGCTTATGTCTTAAAAACTATGACGAATATTGGTCATTTTTATCTGAAATTAGTGAAAGAGTTCATCGTTAACTTGCCTAAAGAGTTTAATGAAACTTGGTTCACTACTTTTCCTTTTCTCATGAAATTATAAATTATTGTCTTGGTAGAGGAAGACTGATTACAACTAGAAAAAATGGATGATGCGTTGTCAATCTAAAGAAATTTACACTGTCAACCAATCACGATCATGAATTTCGCCTAATCAGACTGTAATTTTTTGAAAATTTATATATGACAAAACGATATATTTTTATTGGATTTTACACTGCCAGTGCATCTCCTTTAACCTCTTATAACTAATTGTGTTCCATCTCTAAAGACCATTGCTAAAGAAACCACCAGAAATGTGCATGATGATTGTCCATCTAATGGCCTATTGGATGCTTCAAAATTTAGCGTGAAATATGAAATTTCGTACATGATTGGTGTCGCAAACTGGACTCCTTCCTCCCATGGATCAGGTATTACTCTCACTTTTTCTAGTTTGTTGTATTAGATTGGTAATAGGGAATTTTTCAATTTTGGTGACTATGTATTTTAACAAGTGATTAAACAATGTTGAATCTTATGCGGCTAAACTTCTAATTGGTTTTCCCTCTTTAATTTCAGGTATATTAATTGAAAAAAGTGATATTATTATTGTTGAGAACGAAATTGGTGTTGCTCCCGGATTTTTGAATTTTGATTATAAATTATTTGTCGAGAAACATGTCCTTGACATTAGTTTTCCAATGTTCCTAGTATTGATTAATATTATTTAATGGTCGATGAGAATATGCTTGATGTAATATCTATGTCTATATTTGTGAGAAGTCACATTCTCAAGGCACTTGTCCATGAAGTCAAGGCTTTGTAGGAAATTATCACCACATTCACGGTTAGAAAAGGTCTTTGTCAATGTCTTATTAAAATGTTAAGTCTCTGAGTGGCTGGTGCTTTTTTGTCTCAGACTATTATTTCAGATGTTGAGAAAAATGTGAAAGATGAAGACATGTCAAGTGCTGAAGAGGAACGTGGTGTTAAAGATGATTATGAAACTACTTTTGATAATGATTCTTCTACTCCTTTCCAATGATTTATTTGTTGTTTTGCTAGTTTTTTGGTTGTTATGGAAATTTATTATATTTTAACTGGATTTTGATGTTTTTTTGTTGAAGTTGTGTGCCCTAATGTGGCTGATTTGTTATTCTGAATATGGTCTATTGTTTTTGTCTCTTTTGAGACAAATAGGGGGAGATAAAGAATATTTTGTTACTTTTTCGATTATATGATGTGTGTTTTGTTATTTAGAATATTACATGTTTTTTTATTTGATTTGAAAGAATGTGCGTAATATCTTTACTTTGTTGTTTTGTCTAAAAAATAGCCTAATGAGGAGTTTACTATTATAGTTGATTGGATAATTTTTGTAAGTTATTTGTTAAGTTAGATGTCTTGACTTAATGTGAGACATCTTGTCTAAAAATATTTATTTCCATATTTGTTTCCTTTTGAGTTTAATATGAGGTTTGATTAAAAGTGCGTTTTTGAAAAAAGATTTTTAATCTAAATTGATTTGGTAAAGATTATGCTAAATCATATATTTGCTTGGAAAATTTTTAATTGAATTCGATTTAGAAGATTGAACTTACCGTTTTTGAATTCAGATTGCTTTTGTCAAAACACTATTGAACTTTTCGGTTGAACTGTATTTGCTATTTTGAACTGTATTTGCTATTTAAGGAGATGATTCTCCGTGTTTCAACACTCACATTTTGAAGTATTTAGTGTGTCGTAATTTTGTATGTTTGTTGTAGTAATATATTTTTGAGGGTGTTTCTTATCTTAGAAGGATATAGCATTTGGTTTGTAATTGTGATTTGAATCACGTCAAACATAATTGGTTTCTTGCAAACATTTGAGACTGTTTGAGTGAAAGTGACGAGTCTCAGATTCAAGGCAAGTCTGAGTTGAAATTCACATACAAATTCACATAATTAGTGAATTTTCTTTTATTGGGCTAATCTCATGCCCTCTTAACGTAGATGACATTGCGCCGAATTGAGTTAACAATTATGTGTTAACTTATTTTGTTTATTTGTTCTTTGCTCTATTTAAATCGTATTGTCTTATACACTCTCTTAACAATGTGTGTGACATCTTATCGTTGATCGAATAATGCATCATTACACAAGAGTATATTACTAGTTTGTAAAAGAGACAATGGCACCCAAGATTTCAACCGTGTACACATGTCTAACCAACCTAACCCAGGGTTAATAACATTTCCCATTTGCAAACCCCCGAGCACTAAGCCTATCTTTAACAAGGAACATAAGAGCTTCAATGCCTCAAAAGTGGTCGATACATTGACAAATGATTAATGTACAACTTTATATGAACCTTTCACTTTAGGTCATGAAATGTGTCATGATAATACTTTCATACTTAGTCATGGAAATGGATGAGAAGGAACCTGAGTTTGGAGAAAACAAAAGTATCCAAAGATGGTTCGGTAAGTACGGGTAGTAAACATAACTTTGCAATGGTCCTTGAAGGCTTTGATTATAGTCTCAAGTTATCAAATCATAAAAGTAATTGAACCTTGTAGAAAAGCTTGAATTCTTCCCTTGTGTACTTCCTTAACATGAGTATTCATATCCTAGAATTTATTCCTTAATTCTTGTATGATGAATTCAAGAAAATATTTGAATGGGGTCGGGTGAGGAGAACTAGAGATACAACATTTATACAAGATACACATTCAAAATAACACAGCACAAAGGATACAGAATCATAAAACACTATTGTTTTTAGTAAAATAGTAATATAAATATATATACATAACCTACAAACTCTATTATGGCTCCTAATATAA